TCTCCGCTTCGGTCATCCATTTAATGGCACAGAAGTTCTCTTCGACGCGAATGCAAGACGTGTAGCGAAGGTTCGACAGATAGCGCGACTTCGAGTCCACTCGAGGGCCGTAGTTGAAGGAGCGGATGACGTCAGAGGGCAGGCGGTAGTACTGGAGACAACCGGACGGCGCCATCACGTAGTTGTTGCACGGGATCAGAGAGATCTTGATCTTCCACTTGCGCGAGAAGTCGATGTCATTCGTGATGACGGACAGAACGACCGGATTTCCGGATCCGCGGCCCATATCCACGTACAAGTGTTGGCCTTTGTTTTCGCCGCAAAGCATTGGCAGGCGTTCGCCGACAGTCGTGCGCACCATAAACGAGTCTTTAGTACATCTGCCGTATTCGTCGGGCGGCGAGAGACTGAACTCCTCGAGGTCTGGGAGCGGAGGGGGAGTGAGCGACAGAGCAATAACCAATAGAGGGAGAGAGAGACAAACCTAGTCTAAGTTGGCAGACGTCGGGCGCGTTCTGGATGGTCACCTGACACGTGTTGGTGCCGTTCTCGCCCAACGGATAGGACGGGTTCACGAAGAGGGTCTCGTTGGAAGAGGTCTTTCCCGAACACGTGAACTTGAAGGTACAGCACTTGAGGCCACTGCGGCCGCACTGCCCGGAACCGGTTCCCCCGCGCGAGCGACAGTCGTTTTCGGCGAGACAGGTGCCGGCGTCGCCGTCTGTATTGCAGGGCGTGTTCTGGAGGCGAATGGAGCCCTGGAAGAGGTTGTCCACATTCACGGGTCTCCAGAACTGCCGACTCGTGGCATTCGTCTGCAGAGACTGACGAGCATTGAGACAAAACACGACCAAAAAGAGGATGTTTTGCGAACTCATCGCAAACAATGGTCTCATAAGCGTTGGACACAAGAGTTTAGGCGACGATTGCTTTCAGAAGTGAAGAAACAAAGACTGAACTGTTTTTTGAGTTTGTGATCAAATGTTCTCGTCTTATGACAAGTGCACTTTATATCGGTATTTATACCCAAAAAATGATTTGATATTACCATTGATTACAGGATAATATAGTGAATAAGTTATGTGAACAGACAATATGTAAATATTATTTGTTTTGTTTGGTCTGAAGTTCAAGAATAAAGTTTAGAGAACTTTCTGTTTCATTGTATAATGGATTGAATAAACTTTAAATTATTTTTTTATTTTCCTGGTTTATTGTAATTTAAAACTATGGCTAAGTATACATCATAACTTATTTAAAATCTTATGAATTGATTTATTAAAATAGTAATTTTAATGAAATAAATTTCCGTAATATTTTTAATTAGAATTTTTAATTATTTAAGTTATATACTAGTTTATAATTTAAGCTTTAAAACTTATAAAGGTTAAAACTTAAGTTCAGTGTTTCATTTATTATAGTTATTATTGTATTTGTTTAGCTGTTTTCCGACAAAAAATTCATTTTTAGAAACTTTTTATTTAAATAAATACAAATAAATACTACTATTAAATGCTATAAAAACTTTTGTTTTGTATATATTTTTTACTAGAAGTTGTAAAAATCAGTAACCTTTTGAAGTTCAATAAAATTGTACAAGTTTCATTTACGAGTTCAATAAAAATCAACAGTAATTAAAACATCGCTAACAAAATGTCATTTTTATTAAAATTCCCTATGAATTGATACTTCACTCAATAATTATTTGTAATTAGTGTTAAACTTTACAACAAAATGCTGACTATTATCAAGATTACAAGTTTTAGTACAATCATAGCATACTTATACATTATATCTATCAATTGTGATGACAAGCTAACAAATGGACAAAAAGTATCTCAATTTTCTACAACTTTATCGCCGTATATGTCATCTACTGTTCATTCAAATCATAAATCAGAGAAATACACAAAATATTTGCCATTATATCCATTGGATCCGTGGACGAGACAAAGAACTAAATGCTGTTATACTGTCGATGGAAAGTATATTGGATATGGAGGTTATGGCGGTTATGGGGGTTATGGTGGGCATGGAGTTTATGGTAGGTCTGGACGCTCTGATAGATACGAAGGGTATGGCGGTTATGGCGGTTGGGCCGGAGGTCATGACTCTGGGAACAAAATGAATGGAGTGACCTATAGGGATGTGCCCACTACTACACCAATTAGTGTTACAAGTTTTATTCAAACACACAATTTATCAAGTTAACTTTATCATGATTTTAAGTTGATGTTTTATTTATTGAATAAATGCCAATTTAATTGTCATTTTACATGTAAATTAATTGCAACTAATAAATGAGAAGCATTTTTACAATACTGTGCTTGCTTATTCTGTTTGATGGCAACTTGATTGTGTAATTCTTTTCATAAAAGTTTTGTTATAAAGTTTTTTATAGACATTAAATTTTGTTAAAACTTGTTTTGTTGATTGCTAATCTATTTCACTATAAATTTTGAATTATTTTTACTTTTTTCTTTTATAATAATTTGAAATAATTCTTATCATGCAAATATTCACAATTAAAACTTACATCAAATTATACAAACTGATTTGCTAGAATAATAAAATGAGAATTTATTTAAGACTATTGATAATGACACTTATATTTAATTATTTAAATTAAATAATAATATTCTATGTTCAAAATATAAAACATATAAATGTGCTGGCGAACTTGAGTTCAGTGTATTTATTATTGAAAATTTTTATGTTTGGTATTTGTTTAGCTGTTTTCCCATAAAATCCATTTTTAGAAACATTTTATTCAAATTTAATTTCGAGATTTAATTTATAGTACACTATAGGCCTATTATATTGTATAAGAAAATTTACTATGATTATTTTGTTAAATATTTTAGCTGTAATACCTGTAGAAAGTTATGAGTCGGTAATTATTACAGGTACTGTATATAAACCACAAATTGTCATATAGTACCAGGGTATCATCCAATTTGTTTTTATATAAGGTCATTGTCTTATGAGTGATTCAAATGTATTCCTCTATGGTATCATCCGATTGAGTGACAATTTGGTGATTAATAACTCAATTTATAATATTATTGTATTTTATGATACAGTATTTGCACTGTTCATTAGTATTCAATTCTACGATAATTGTCATTAAAATTAATTAAACATTTAAATTTTCATAGAATAACTTGTCCATTGACTTGACATGGTTAGAAATGAGCAAGCTAATTCATATTAGAAAGTAAGATGTGTTAGTAATTGTATATACCGGCACTATTCATACAACTTTGTAGATATACCGGTATTCGTGTAAACTTCGTGTGGAATCTGTAAGTTTGTGCCAAACTTTTGGAGTTGCATTGCATTGCTTACAATGCCTTACATTGACTGCTATTGTAAATAAAGCCGTAATTTATATGAAATCAATTCACAACTCAAAGTGTTTTTCAAACGTTTATTCA